ATTCTATGAATTCAACCTTCAATCTCAAAACTATATCACATCCAAAACAAAGGGTGTGTTATAAAACAAGACAGTTTCATAACAGAGAGCAAACTGCTGACTAGAAGCCCCAGGTTCAGACACTCCATGGAGCTGTGAGAAGCTGAGCAACTCACTTAGTGCCTTTTGGACTCGGATTTTTAATCGAAATACCAATGGCTTAATTATCTGAGTTTTAAGTTCAAAAATTCAAAGATTTCTTAAGATTCTGAATTCCCAATTCCCATTTATACATTATCACTGAGTTTATATTCCAGTGGAAAGAAACAGATGAAAACAAGCAAACGAGTGAAACAACTGTAGTTGTGAGAGGTAGAAAAAGGCTCCCCAAAGACGTGTACAACCCAGTCTCAGGAATCTATGACTATGTCAGGTTACATGGAAAAGGGAAATTAAGGCTGCAGATGAAATAAAAGTTGCTAATCACCTGACCCTGATATGTGAAATCGTTCTAGATTATCCAGGTGGGCCCAATATAACCACCAGAGTCCACTAAATGTGGAAGAGGGAGGCAGAAGAACCAGTTAAAGTAGTACCACGCGAGAAAAACTCAACAGGCCACTCCTGGCTTTAAAGACGGAGAAAGGGCCATGACTCAAGGAATGTAGGCTGCCTCAAAAAGTTACAAAGGCTGGACAATTCTCCTCTAGCCTCCAGAAAGGAACACATCCCTGTGAACTCCTTGATTTTAGTCCAGCAAAACCTATTGCAGATTCCTGACTCCTAGAACTGTAAGATACTACATTTGGGTTAAGTCACTGTTTGTGGTAATGCATTGCAACAGCAATAGAAAACTAATACAGCAGTAATAAATGCTAAGAAAACATCTGCATTCACGAGACGAGCATACCTGGGGTAAAGCAAGTGAGCTACTATGCACGTGGTAGTCCAGGCTAGCTGGGTATTTTAAAATCTTTCTCATGTTAATGTGTTTAGGGGGTCCATGTGCTTTGCTGCTGGTCATATGTCCCCATTGTAAGTATTTTTTTCCCATTGGATATATATGGGCAGAGTAACTAGGGATCGTGAGATTTTCAGTAACTGAAAATAATTCTGAGATTCCCATAATGATTCCTCCAAAATAATACATAAAAAAGACTCTTTGCAAAATCAAGTCAATGAATTTAATTATATGCTTATAAAATGTACCATTATTGCTAAATTCGGTCATCTCAATGTATTATATATGTATAATCTATTACATTTGAAAAAATATACTCTCTTGGCAAAAATTCATGTGTTTCTGATTATGTAGTTTATATGATTATGAAGACATTATAGACAACTGTCAATTAGATCAGTTAATTGTAGCCAAATCATTTCAAAAAGAAATTCTAAACACCCATCCCAACTTCTAATGATAAGGTGTGTCTAATGAAGGATGGGGGAGTATTTTAATGGATGCGATGTTATGTGGAAAGGATCTCTGAAGGCTGAGCATCTTGAATCTCTGAGAGTCTTCAAAGGACCCTGCTCACCACTCCCTATTGACTTTCTTTTACACAAACATCCAACTTATTTTAACTTATCATCCTGTTCTCTGATTACAGTTGAGTTTTTGACTCCCTGTCCATTCACTGCTTGGAAATAAGACGGAATGTGACTTGCCTTCTCTTTGCATCGAGGCATCACTGAAAGGACTTGAACCACTTCTATCCTGGCCCTCTGACACATGTCTCATCAAATTCCATTTATGACTTACTTTCCTCTTTTGGAATAATGAAAAAAAGAAGTCTAGGGCAATAATACACTTAACTTGAAGTTAAGAGTCCTGGGTTCAGTTCTTCATGTTTAATGGATAATTGGGCTCAAATTATCTCTAAATCCTAAAACATCTATTTCTATGTCTTCTAGAGTTACAAGAGTATTGAGCCATGCTTACCAACTGGGGGCTAACAGAAAGCCCCACCTTTAGGACTTCCTACAGCCCCAGCTTCTCCAGGAAAGATCAAAACTACATGGAATTTGGAGGCAGATGGGCTAGTGAGTGAGGATTACACTGAGATGTGGATCCAAGTAAGTGATATTCCAGTGCCCCATCCCCTGTACAACTTATCAAGTTGTAGTCTTTTACTTTTGGAAACTTTACTCTTCCTAAAAAATTGAGGAATTCTGTAGTCCATTTGGGACAAATGGCTGGAAGAATAAAGCAATAGAAGGAAATACAAATTGTAAGTGTTCCTTGTTTTCTTTCCAAAATATAGACTGGAAAAACCCACTATCATGACAGAAACAAGTATCCTTGTTTCAAGACATTTGTGATATTACTGAATTGATATTTGTTTCTAGAAGGATAAACATTTCATAAATTCAAAGCCCACAAGTGTATCAACTTGTAACAAACCACTGTGAATTTGAAAACAAACCATCACTAAAACTAATGCTGTTTAAATCAGGCCATTGTCCTGGTTTTGAAATCGCAAACTAAGATCACAGGGCTTTATTTGGATTTGGGTGATTAATAAAAATTGTTTCTTTTCAGTATAAATTTTTTCCAGGTAGAAATTATCATCACACACAAGATCAGATGTAATTATAAATTGTAAAGGGAATGCTAAAGACTAAAAATAAAGGCAGAAGATACTTTGAGTAGGCAAGGATAATATTCTTCCCTGAAAAATCTCACTGCAAGTATCAGCATTATTTGCAGAAGATCAGTTAAAAATGGCCTGAAGATACCATTATAACTAAATGCTGATTTAAAATAATGTGTTTGATAATTCCCACACATCTTCTTTAATTTTGCTTTTTCTCTTAAAAATGCATGTACATTTAGTTTAATTCTGGTCTCCTTTTGAAGGAGATATGCTTAACGCAACCCATACTAATCCTTCTCCTAGTGTTGACAGTTCTTGATAATGGCTCCTTGTACGTCATAAGATCACAAGTGCCTCCTTTATCTTTCCATTTTCTTTTCTCTATAACAACAGCAGTTTTAGCTTTTCCTGTCTGAGGTTCACCAGAACATTGGCATATTCAAGAAAAGATGTTTTAAGATAATTCCATTCAAGGTATCCTCAGGAAATCATTTCCTGACAATTAAATTCCGACCAGGAGCTCATTAGTGCTATTGTAAAAGAGAATGACCCTTTTGATAGAAGAAAAATGAGTCATCACCATCCTATTGAAAAGCTGAAGTAAGTAACTGATAGACATGACTAGAACATTGATTGACATTTTCTAGCTATTGATACATTCACTATCAAAAAAAAAAGTCTTTGTCTTTCATACATCCTAAGATTAAAAGCAAGGAATGATCAACACTGACCATGTTTCATACAGTAAGTGCATTGCTGGTTAAGGTGAAGGATTAACCTTGGCAGTTACTAAATTCAAGAAGAGATTTTGCTAAGGGATAAGAGATGTCTTTACTATCACCAGAAACCCTGAAAAAAATAGATGGCTGTCATATGATAAATAAAAAGAATCAAGACTAAAATTATTACAGTAAAAAACAGTAAACATTTTCATAGAGGCTGATTCTGTGCAGAGAAACTTTTACATTTTCTTCCATTCTTAGAAACTAAAACTGATCAGTAACAAGTTGCGTCAATGACTTATAGTCTACCATATCAATCTGAACCTATTAATGCTTTCCCAGGTGCCAACCTCAATTCTGATGTGCAGCAGAACTGCCTTTTATCCTTCAGAGCCTCTGAAATTTTTAATATCTTGTTTCTCTAAAGATTTTAATGAAATAAAGTCTCTTTATTAATAGTTTAAGTTATTTTCTTTTAACTTTTCTTTTTCTTTTTCCCCTTATCAAACATAGTGCCTTGTATGTAATACTCATAAGTATTACAAACAAATGATTTTCATTTGAGGGAAAAATGGAAATTTCCTCCAGCTGTTTCACAAATACCCTAAGAGCATCATTTGCAGCCTGTAAGAAACCTTTATTAAAAGTAAAGAGCATACCAGGCAGGCAGATTAGATGGCTGTTGTCTTAAAGCTGTATCTGCTTTTGAGTCAGTGAAATAGTCAGATTGTTGAAAACTATGGAACATGTGGCATACAATAGTTTTAAACGAACAAAACTTTATCAGAGATAATCCTTTCCTTAAAATAGCTGGAGAGCTCTAGGAAAATAATTAAGAACTCACTTTTTGAAGCTTCTTATGTGGCCAGTGTTCTCCCATCATCTGGGATTTTTATAAGGCTGAAGTGTACAGGAAAGTTCACAGGTTTTGCAGAAGATCAGAATTATGGTCAAGTCACACGTCTGTCACTTAATAGCTGGGAGACCCAAGGTAAATAAACTTAACCTCTCCAAGCCTCAGTGACTTAGTAACAAGGGAATAATCGGCCCATTTCCAGCATTCAAGATCAGAACAGAAACTTTGCCTTCCCCAGCATCATCCACTCCAAATCTATAAGTATCTTTTCCCCATCTCCACCACCTTCCCTGGTGTTGGTTTCCTCTCCCCCTTTTTGAAAAAGCCGTTTTCCTAGGAAGTTTAGAAAGGAGTGTAAGAACCTATGTTAATATATTAGCTTCTGGGTTTGAACTTTGACATTGAAGGAAAAACAACCCACAATCCTGTTTGCTTATATAAGCCCAGATGCAGCGTTAGTATCTAACTCAGTACAGAAAAGTTCCCAAGATACCTTAAGGCAGTATATACTGCCAGACCCAATTCCATTCCTCTCTTGTTTAAAGGACCAGTGTGCATTAGCTGCTATTTATATCAGCCCATAGTTTGTAAGAAATCCAGAATAGTTTCCCTCATTTCACGGATTAGGAACTTTATGAGGGCTAACCTTTATAACAGTAAACTAACTAAATGTCACACTTTTTAACTATCAATAAGGAAACTCTCAAACACACTGAACCCAAGATATAAAAACAGTCTTTTCAAATTTCACTCCAATCTCCCCAAGCATTGCAAGGAAACATCCATTAAATGAGAGCAATAGCAAAAGCTATGTGACTAGGGAAAGGTGATCAATAAAACACTTACACCTGATTGTGCGTTCCATGCGGTCAGTCACCAAAGATGCATTGAGACCACAGCTGATCTTTATCAAACTGATTTTATCAAGAACAACAGACCGTCCTATACTCAGTTCATATGACAGGGACTCTACTGAAAATAAAACACCATGAGGCTTCGGTTCTCTAGGCTGAGGATATAAATTTGATGTAAATGATGAACATAACCATGGAAAAATAATTAGAGTTTTCTCATCAGGAAAAAATCTCATGCAACTTGTACATGTATTCCAGTAAGTGGAGACAGGTTTAGGGTGGCTGAAGGAGAAAGCCATCTATACAATTCCAGTCGCAAACTGTATTCACCTCGTTTATCTTTGAATCTGGCACTGTGGTCCTTGCCAGCTGACAGTGCTTGTTCGTGTCCCCGTCTACACCACTGTAGTGATGTGGATAGAGCTTAGGATAAGATGGCTCTTAAAATGCATGCAGTCAAAAGAGGAAATATAAACCTAACTAAAAGCCGCATCCTCATAGGAATATTTAAACATCATGCCTGACTCAGAAATCCCTTTTATCAGCTATCTGCATCCCTGGGAGGAAATAGGGCTTTTTCCTACATTGTTGTCAAAGGAGAGCATATCTTCAAACTAAAAAGAAAGGCAAATAAAAGAGTAGTATGCTACATAACCTTAGTCTAAATAGTAAAATGTGCAACCAAACCTTCACGTATTATTAAGTGCATAGCCTTCATTTTATTCCACTGTATTCAGCTCTATTTTTATGTACAAGATTTTAATTTCTTTCTTTATTTCAATTTTCTTTCCACATCCCTTCCTTCCTTTTTTTTTGCGCAGCACCTTCTATGTGATCACACTTTACATTATTAGCTCAAATTTTCTTGCTTATTTCTCCTTCTCTGCCAAGGTTCCGATCACACCAACATGTAGCAATCTGTCTTCTGCTTGTTTTAAATTAATAGGAATAAATTTTTTATCAAGTGAGGAAACTTATATTTCTGTACATGGATCTGCATGAGTTGCTTTGTCCTCCTAAGAGGTCAATTTTCTAACCCATTAAGTGAAGGTATTGGATTTAACTATTGTGAATTTCTTCTACTCTAATATCATATGGATTTTTTGCTAGTGAGAGTAGATGGTAAATACCCTTGTATAATGTTAATTTAAGAAATAATATTCACTTAAATTCATATTTATTTAACTAATAGTTAAGATATTTTTTCCATATGCATCTTCAAGTTTTGTTTTTACCCATGTTTTACCCACTTTACCACCACAGTGGGGTTTTTTTTTTTACATTAAATTTTATTTTATTTGTTAGGAAAGGAATCAGATAAATAGTTGAAATCAACAGAGCATGATTTACAAAACCTACTCTCTTGTAATAGAGAGGAGAAATTATTTCAGGTTGGGGCCACATGTTCAAGGGAAGGCGCAGCAATAGGAACTGAATAGGGCACAGCAGTGGGTCAGTCCTTTAGACTCCTTGGCTGGAGCAGTCTGATTAGTGTTGAACTCCCCAGAGTGGGCCCTTGTAAAAGCAGCCTTAGAAGAGTTTTCCCTAGAAATGCCATGCCCAGAGTTCAGAATTTCAAATAGCAGATTATTCTGAGCCTTCAAAATTTCTGGATTGAGATGAGAAAATGAAAGGAAAATGTCTCTGTTGGATATCTGCAGAATGGACTGGAAGTGCAGGCAAACGTTTGAGTGACAAGCATGTGGCAATGTAATGTCAGAATTTAGGGGATAAAAGCCTCTCTGAGGATAGTGTGATTGGGAATGGTGTTACTACAAAAAACAAAAAAGACTTGGCAAAAAAATTCAAATTATTTGGATAAAAGGAACAAGGGAGATGCAGAAGTTAAATCTGACTGAGAACTGGAGCTTTGATGATCAGAAGATCTTTGGCAAGTCATATAGAGGATCTATTTTTAATATTAATTCTCTGTATTACAAATAATAAATCCACTCAGAAAATGACATCTTAAAAACAAAAAACAAACCTAGAACATCAGTACTGTATTTCAAATATCAAGCAAAAAGCAGACATTATTTGATACAACTATGAAGTTTTGGAGAAAGGTAAAATAAATCCAAATATTCAGGTTTTGTCTGAAAGAGTGGTTTGAGTTATTAGAAAATAATACTTTCAGATTATAATTTTGGACTGTTATTAGCAATATTAATTTACCTACACTTAAGCCACAAATCACTGTGATCAAAAAGCTTCAGTTCTTAGTCCTTTTGAAAGGTACCTCACTGAAACATATACTCAAGCATATCACAGCCTTTGTTTAAAAGCAAAATTATAGTTAATGCTTTGGCAATTTTTAATAATATCACTGACAAATGATGTTTTTAACCACAAACACAGACATTCCTTTTTTAAACAAAATCTTGATGATTTAATTCCTTATTTGAACAAACATTTTTAGGAGATTTATAAAGGCCTAGAGGCATTAGACTTTATTAGCTTGACAAATTATATCCTAAATGAATTTACTCATGTGCTATTAAATATTATCATAAATAATTAAAATTAAGCTACACTTGTCAAAACGGTTTAATAAACTGTGCTCTCTGTTGTAGTCACCTAGAATTTCTATCATGTTCATTTTCTGACTAATTCACAAAATCTTTTAAATCAATGAGAGTTCTACATATGAACTGGCAAGGTTCTAAGAAAATCATTAGGCTTAATAATAGTAACTAATAAAACTATGTAAAATAATTACTTTATAAATGAGATGAATAAATATCATTAGCATCAACGTAGGCATACACAAATCCACCAGATTAACGAGGAACATGGGTAAGAAATACCATAAACTGATGACAATGAACTGCATTTTATGAGGTTTTCCTGTTAGTGAAGTACTTTCACATTCATTAAATCCTTAGGGCCTTATAACAAGTTGGAAGGTGGTATCCTTTAGAGGAGGTAATAAAGGTCAGGACACTGCATGGTAGTAGGGAATGGTTAGTGTACCAGTGTTGCTACAGTAGAAACACAGTGCTTGAAACCTGGCACTTTGGGGAACAAGTACCCTGTGAAGGTATAGACAAACTAAGGTAGGGGAAATGCATGACATTTCTATTTTTGTGACAAGAGAGAGATGAGCCAAAAAATAGTGGGAGTTTGAGCAAATAAACAAAGCAGAAGTCATGCCTGAACTGCAATGTGTGTGACGCAGTGTGTCAGCAGAGCTCTCTTCCCATGCAAATAATACAATGGAACTGAAAACAAGTCACGGAGTAAACAGTACTTAGCTACACTGCCGTACACAGGCTCCTTAGTTCCAGCCTGGAGGGTGCTACAAGGAGGAGTGGGAGGTGTTTCTGACATATGCAAAACGTAAGGTGGAACCATTTGGTGACTGTGCCTATTCAATTGCTCCAAAGGTTACAGACTTGCTGAATCCTGAAGCTGCTTATCCGCATTGCAGATCCTTTGTAACAGAGGATTTGGTGAGCCCAGAAAATGCAAGGGGAGGACAGTGACTCAGGAACACTATTAGCTAGAGAACAGTGGCACCATTATGTTCATCTTAAAGCAAACTCAGGCCAGATCAAGCAATTTGACCAGGAACACATGAGAGATGAGAAAATTGAGACTCAAATCCAGGACTTCTCATTTCAAACTTACACTTTTATCCTAATATACTGCCCTCTAAGTTCATATTATAAATACACATGTCATAATTTACTTTATCAATGGCAAATTTCTGTAGTAGAGTTTCATTTTTTTTCGACTATTCTAGATAAGTACGTGTCTTCAGATAAGGTTTATTCATATAGTAACCTAATTTACTGAAAACATCTTCACTCGGAAATTTAACTAAAGAAAATCTAGTATGCAATTCTCAAACACTTAACTAAAAAACATAGGTTGGTGCGTAGCCTCAGATAGAATTCAAATATGGTAGCTAAAGGCTGTGATAAAATTCACCCCTCACCTTCAATGAATGTTGTCAATTCCCTCCACTACATTTTTAGCAAGTCAGATGTTAGATTCATTTCTTTTCTCCATCTTTGTTTAAACTAAGATGACATCTATAATTTACAGTGAGATTAAAACAAGTATCAAGTAATATGAAAAGGAAAGAAAGGAGGCCTATAACGTATTCAAATTATATACATACCAAAAAAATGACTCCTTTGGGAACCATGGTAGGCATAACTGGTACTCACCCATGTGCGGATCTCCTTCTCCTCCCTGAAGGGACTGCGGGAAGGGCCATGTGACTCTTGGCCAACGACATGAATAAAAGGCTGAGTTAAAAACATGGTAAGATTCTCCAGTCTCCCAATCCTCCGTTGTAGCGGTTCTGGAGGAGGACACACGGCCAGGTGGTAGAGGCACACATTCCACACAGCCTTTATTGCTGAATGAAGGACACCTGCCCTGGAGAGTCTCCTGGACTCACAGTAAGCTTAGGGTGAGCAGGAAATAACTCGGATGCCTCTGAGAAACCGGAGTTGTTTGCTACCACACCTTGACTTATACAGAAATAGACATTAAAAAAAATTTCTTCCAAAAACCTCTTCAAGCATGTTTCAGTGAAATGACTGTAAGCTCTACAGATGACCTGGGCATTAGGCAGGGGTCGTGCTTTGGGCAGTTCCGAAAGGCAGTGGAGAGAACACGGGCTGTGGAAGCTGCCTGCCTGCCTTACAGTCCTGGCTTGACCACTTCCTGGCTCTATGACCTTGAGTGGCAGGTCTCAGTGACAATTTCCTCATTTGTAAAATGTAGATAATAATAGTGTGCAAAACACTGGGTGTTAGGAGGGAAAAATGATGCTATGAAGGAAAAATAACACATTCAAACACATAGAAGAATGTGTGGCACAAAGCAAGCCCTTGGTAAGGGTTAGATCTCTTGTATGGTCAACATCATCTCTAACCTACCCACGGGCACACTGTTTCATTTCACTGATTCAAAATTCCCTTTGGTGGTTAGAAGAATTGACAACTACATTAACAAGTAGTGGAAAAATCATATCTATAATAACAAAAGGATGGAAAAGCTTTTACTCACGTTCTAATGCACTGGTTCTTCAGTGGTTCCACAGAGTGGATCTATTGCTATTTTTAGCTGTAGGGGTCAATGTTAAATAGAGGAAACTCACAGATGAAATACCAGTAATGGAAGCAACACAGTTACTGTCAAATGACATTAATACTGTGAAATCAGAACTTCTGAGGAAAAAAAATCCAAAATAATAGACAGCCTTTGAACTTAAGGGAAAAAAATAGAAAGGTGAAGCCTCTGATACAATACATGAGAAAATGAGGCTTGCATTATTCAACAGCTCATTCATGTTTGACGCTTGCTAAATTGCCTGAAATCCCTTCACATTCTGCAAAGATCAAACATATTAAGAATGTCAAAATAACATTAGGTAACCCCTTTCAACCGTCAAAATAACTCCTCAGAAAAAAGGAAAGATCTGCAAAGTTCAGGGCTATGAAGAACACAATTAAATGGTGGTGTTGTGGGGAAAAAATCACGGGATGCCATGCTGACACGAAAACACCAAGCAGTAACTTAAGGGGTCAGTTTTGGCAAAAAACTGAAACTGAGGTCCTGGATTTCTTCAGTTTGTAAATCAGGATAATATCTATTTTATGCATCATATGAGCCTTAGAAAAACTAATGTATGTAAAGTTTCAGAAAGCAGTCAAAAATATTAGTTTACCTGTCTTTCATCACTCTAGAAGTCATAAATCATAAGCAATATTTCCTAAGTATTTTCCCTTGGCCTTCACTTAATTCTATATCCCACGTCGATTTAACTACATTTTCAAGAGAGGGTTACTTGCAGAGCTTCTTTATGATCCACTTTAGTTTTTTCCAAAAAGAGCAGAATGATAAATCCAAGCGCCTTCAATGAAATGACACCCTACATAATTGATCCTCCACGAAGACATGGCTAATGTGGTTTTATGTTCAACACTGCTGCTGGCCCTAATGATAGCATCTCACCTGTCATTATTTCAGTATCAGGGGACTGAACGATTCTAAAGCTCCAAAACATTTAATCTGAAAATTTGAATCCCGTGTCCTGGTTCCACATTGACCCAGAAATGTCGTGTGATTTTGCAATCATGTCTAGTAATTGCCAGATTCTGTGCATTCTGCCTAACTATGTGATGTGGAATTTTAATGCTCATAAATCATTTCCTCACTTAGAAATCATAAGTACATACCAATGCACATTACAATGCAATCTTTTGCTACACATCTGAGTGTACATGATAGCAGAATGTGCTACCAACCGAGAATCTAGGGAAAGAAACTGAATCAGGACAATTTACAAGACTTGCCGTTACATTAACGCCTATACTCCACAGGAAAAAAGTTCAGTCAAGGCAGGGATTCATGACTTGATTACACCATTCCAAGTGCAATTACATGTGGAACTACTCAAGCTTTTCTTCACGGAGCATCCAAAAAGAGCTATAATTAGAATCTGTAGATACAAGGTCTTCCATAGTTTCAGAAGCTGTGTGTAGCTACTGCTCTTGGTTCTGTTAAAAGCAACGACTGATCTGTCCAAAGGAAGCCATATAATACAGTGCCTTATTCCTTTATTCATTAAATACTCTGATGCAGGCATAACTCAAACACAAGCTTTTTTAGGTTAATTAAACCACTTCAGTTAATAGCAGACTTCTTTTTTCCCCATAGGCTATTATTAAACTAACGAAAGGAGGTATGAACATAACATTAAATTGAAGACTGGGAAATTTCTCTCGCATGCCCTGTGCTTTTGAGCAGATGCTTTATATTTAGCTTAAGCATGGCCTAAAAATTATCAGTTTTATTTCCTTTTATAACTGCTATAGCTACTGAGAGATGGGAGATAACTTTGGGCAAGTTTTAGTCACTTTTCACCTTTCATCAGTGGAGATACAATAACCTTTCATCACAAAAAATGGGACAATCTGTGTTTAAATTAATAGGACAAAATCTTTCCTATTCCAGTTTAATTCACGGCCACCATGTTTTTTGAACCATAGGCTCCCTTTCACTGTGAGTGGATGTCGTCATAAGCAGTACGACTATTTTACATTTTGTAGGAACATCACCATCAAAGGAGGATGAAGGCCAGCTCTTAGGTACTCTCTCCGTGTGAATAAAAGAATTAAATCATATTGCCAGAAAACAACCTGCCTTTAAGGATCTGATAAAAAGCATTTCTGCCTTGGTATCTTCAGGAAAAGGACAGACAGACTGTGCTTTATGATGGTTAAATGAACCTTGTGCAGAGCTTGCACTTCAGAATTTAAATTTTGAAAGTAATGCTGGCTGATGACAAAAACTGCACTGCCACTTATGACACTTTAATTACAAGTTTCCAGGCAAATATTATGACACTCTATGTTAATTGCTTTCCATGTTTTACAAGTTTATGTATATTTAAAGACATGACTAGGTTCCACTGAACGTTGCAAAATTATCAATTGGGCCAAAAAAACCTATTGGCCCAATATATTCCATACATTAGAGAAAAAAAAAGTAACATATGGAGCAAATAAAATTTTAAAAAGTCCCAACACTGCTGTAATCTAACATTTAATGTTGACTATGTAATAAACAAACTGTAATAAGAGAAGAAGGTCAATAACTGTAGCTTTTTAGGTGGGGATTTAATTCAGCTTTATAGGCCCACAGTTACGTATAAATGTGTTAAAAAGAAAAGGTGCTGTGGTTTTGGCATATGTCAGTAATCAAACATAAAAAGATGGTCTTTCCTGGGGTAGCTTTGTCTCTACCTTGAGGGAGAGAGAGATTTGAACCTCAGAGGTTGTGTCTAGGCATCTGGCTCAAATGCCCTTATTCAACCAGCTTAGATGGCCCAGCTTACTCAGCTTGCTTTATTGCAAATGAGTTATCTGCTTTGTGGATGATCTGGGTTGTTAGTAAGCTCTACCTTGACATCCAGATTGGATCCCAGAGACTGACAAGGGACAAAGTCTCAAACTATTAGGTAATTATTAGTTCACAGTAACTGGCTGTGAAAGGAAGGTGGGCCAAAGGGAGAAAACTGTATGTCTTCTAACATCATTTGTAATATCAAAACTTCTTACACTGGATGGATATTTGAAAGGAAGTAATTATTTAAATCTAGAAAAGTGATGAAACCCCAAGTTTGTTTATAACAAGCCTAAATGAATGCATTAAAATGTTGAGAATATACATATTATTTTGGTATTCAATGAGTCAATTATTTATCTACCTGGCTCATATTTATTAAACATAGTGATATATAGTTAATACATTTTAGATTAGGGCCTTTCTTGATTACTGGTCTTATGTTTTGTAACTTTCTGACAAGTCGGATATATTCTGCCTTGCATTATCATCAAGTCCAACACACACAGAACAAAAATCATGCTGAGTAAATTTTCAACATGATGTCTCTATTTTTTACTTGTTTGATTGTTTCTTTAAAAATAAACCTATTTTCCTTATGGCATTATGCCTAAAATATATTAGCATCTTTTACTAAGAAGTTGTTTAAAAACAGCATACCAAATTATGATAATATAGCTTGAAAAAGGCAAAAAGGAAATACAATTGAAAACTAACTTCCTATAGCAGTGAAAATTAAAGTTTTGAGATTGAAAGCCAAATGTTCAAAAATATTACAGGACTCTTTTTTTTAAGATGCAGAATAATCACATCTCCACCAAAGATGACTCCCTCTACTCCTGCCACTTCAGGAACACATTTTGCTCAGGCACGCACCTGTCATCACGATTCTAAGGCAGTCGACTCATTTCTAACTCCAGGGCAAATCATATGATCGGTCCAAATCATGGTAGTTAAGAAGTGAACTTTTGTCCATTGGTAAGTGTGATCTAAGATGGCAAATGAAAGTAAAGAGAAACACATTTATCGGATTTTAGGAAGAAAGGTTTTCCTCTCTTCCTTCTATAGAATAACAAAGAACTCTTGGCATATTTCAGCTCTGAGGGGAATCAGCTTAAGGCTAATGCTAAAAACGTCCATTTCAGCGGCATCTTTATTTTCCCCTAGGATTCTCCATAAGTGGGGGATCCCTCCAAGAGGCAGAGAGCTTGCTGATGCAGGAGGCAAGTTATCCTACTGACCAATGTACGCGTTTATGGTGTGTTCTGGGGGCATGCTGACTGTGGGGAGGGTCTGAAGGGGTTGGGTGCAATAGATCATACTTGAGGTACCAAAATGGAAGTACATAACATGAAAATGTGTACAGTTCTATTTAGATCTTCGATTATGAACTTAAATTGGAAAAATTCTGACATAAACTCAGTGTGATCTCCAAACTCTTGTCAAAGTTGCTATCCATTTTGATGAATATTAACATGAGATTAAATGAACCATTGCTTCATTTTAATTCTGAGGAACGTTTGGTTTTACCATTATTTACTGTTGTTTATTGACATACGATATTTGCACAGACCAAAATCTTTCATTACATAGACAGGTGAACATATAAGCATAATTGTATAGTATAGAAAATAAACTTTCTGGTCCTTAGCATTTAGTAATGCAAAACTAGTGACAAACATCTTTAGAAAAAAATAATAAAATAGTCCTTCGGTATTAAAATTTCTTATTAAAAAGCATTAGGTCAAAGTGGAGACTATGGCATGTTATTAATGCATAGATGAGTTAGGCATGAATAAAATGAATCTAATCCCACCTTTCAGAGTAAATCAAAATATTTGAAATCTATAGGTCACAGTTTGTCACAGGTCAGCTGAGAACACAATATATTCAGCTTTTTCATTATTCTGTGGTTTTTGATGATGCAACTTTTTAAACAACGTATACCCAGGATATAAACAACATACTGCATACTTACCAGGTGATTTTTATGCCACTTTGCTGAATGCAGGATAAATATATTTGGGCTTTTTATTGCTTGAGTAGAAAGTGCTCATTACTTATTATTTTATGTTTATAATATAGAAATTAAAAAAAAAGAAAAAGTCTTTTTTTAAATGGCATATATCACACTGTTGTAGTGGTCGATTTCCTCAAGATCGTCTTCTGCGGTTTTGGTGCAGTGGGAGGAGGCACAGTTGCAGGTCTGAGAGGGGGGAAGCTGTTACTGTGGCTTATTCCCAGCCCCCCATTTTCTACTGGGAAAGGAGGGAGATGTGAGGGCGGAGGGTGGGGAGGGCCTTGGGGAGGGAGCTTTCCTGGCGGGTGGACGGGCTCGCTGTGCAAGTGGACCTCCCTGTTTCTGATGTTATACCGGGTGTCACAGTCAGGGCAATAGCCATGGTACTGCACTTTTTCATTAAACCGAACTCGTTCCCGCGGCCCTGCTGGGGGGCACCTGTCTTTCTCAGGTCTATGCATCAGAGCCTGCACCGGAGCCTTGTCCAAGCGACTGCTGGGTTTGCAGCAGATGTCTCCGTTTGGAATTTTGTTTGGTGCCCCTGGGAAGCCTCCATTTCGCACAAGGGTGCCGTTGGTCTTGACCGGGTTGACAGCGGGCACCACCCGTTGGGGGTCTTCACACTTCACAGGTGTCAGCCGCGGAGGAGGTGGCGGAGGGTTGGGCTTTCTCAGGACCGTGAGGATAGCAGATGGGTGGGCTGGGGGTTTAATGAGAGGGGCATTGGCCTGCACTTTGATCTTCTCTATGCTGGAGGCTGTCGTGCCGCTGGAGCTACTATTGAGGGTGTCCGTTTTGGAGCTGTCAGTCATCTCATCCTCCAGCTGTAGGTCAGAGGTCAGGGTATCAATCTGGTCAACCACCTGATGGAAAGGACAAGAGAATGGTGTTGAAAAATTACCTGAAGCTAAATATACTGCAAATAATGTCTTCCTGTCTAGCTGTAATCTGCTGTGGGAGCCTGAACTAATACTGAATTGTGTATTCCACTGTTCTCAATGTTTCCATTTAATGACTTTACAGAATACTACCAGAGAACTGCCAACTGTTTGATAACATAATGATTTCATATGTGTAGAATATGATATACTATTTTTTTTTGGTGGGGGAGGTAATTAGGTTTCATTTTTGTTAATTTTTTTGATGGAGGTACTAGGGATAGATACCCATACCTCATGCATGCTAGGCATACACTCTACTCCCAGAGACCATGCATTTGTCCTCATTCTTTGTCTCTTTTCCTGGGGTCTCTCATGTGGGAGACTAAGGGCAGGCAGAGGCTGGAAAGGGTCCCTCTGGGCACACAGGCACAAAACCCCACCCATTTCCAGACACTTCTTTCTTACAAAACAGAAGTCTAAAGCACTAGGTGAATGGCAAGAAACCTTCTAACCTCTTAAGACACAGGCAATGATCTCCTGCTCCTAGGGCAGAAGCAACAGCTGTCTGACCTTGGAGGAGGAGGCAGAAAATTCTTTTGGTCACAGGAACTTATGCTACAGATGTCTCTTGTCACTTGGGGGAGGGATCCAAGCCATGGCCACTCAAGATTTGCTACAGACGTGAGGCAGAGGCAGGAAATCAATTAAGACCAGCAGAGCCATCACACATGATGGAGCTTCAACCCCAAGTGAATAAAGGAAAATTGGGTGGAAGCATTTCAGGCAATGACATTCTAAGGCAAGTTGGGTAAGGTCACTGGGGAGTCATGAGTTAAGGAATATGACATCTCCCAAAACAGGCTTACCTTAGTGTCTCTGCCCAGTTCAGTTACTGCCTGGGGGCACCTTGGGGGAAACATGGCCTCAGGTCAAATGCTCAAGTTCAGAGCACAGCAGTGGGACCCTCAATCGTTCATAGTCCCTGTAGTCAGAGATCTTGGAGGCCATTCTCATTGGTTGATTTCAAGTGAGTAAATGCATATATGAGGACTGAAAAGTTATGGATTACTTTGAAAATAATTTATTTCTATATGGAGAGTCCCTTCATCTCATGTTTCTATATGTAGACTTCTCCATCCTCTCTTGCTCAAGTCTAAGTTTAACTGTGAAGTTGGTTCTTTGACACATGCTGGGAAGATTGGGCTCAACAGGAAAACGTTGTAACCAATCAGTAGTTAAGAGGATAGAGAGATCTGACTTCTTCCACATGAGCATCTTAAGTGACTGGTTCATGCTAATACCAGGAAAGCTCAGCTTTCAATTTTAGCTCCTAAACCCATTCACTTCTCTCTGTTTTCATTTCTTTGACCCTGGTCTGAGCCACCATTACTTACCATATGAGCCACCTAGAGTCACCTTGCTTTCTCTCTCATTTTCGTAGTCTCAGGGACCTTTTTAAAATAGAATTACACTGTTGTCACTCCCTGCTTAAAACCTGTCAATGCCTGTTCATTTCTCCTGTGAGAAATATCAATTCTTAACATGGTCTCCAAGGTTCTGTATAGTCACACTCAGTGTGGTACTGATAAGTGTTTAATAACTAGTTTAAAAATAACTGGGAGTGCAAGTGAGTCCTGATTTGAAGGGTTTGCCAGTTTTCATGGTGAAAATTCCCACTCAGGTTGATTTCAAGTAAGTAAATGCAATATGACCAAATGTGAGATTGGGAAAAAAATGTTCAGTAGCTCATCATTATAAAGTGTTTCTACCATACCAGTAGAATAGACATAAACTCAGGAGCATAAGTAAATAGTAAAATAATTAAGAATGATAAGGAGTAATTACAAACCTTTATTTTTAATGTAATTTATTTAATTAGGTTTATATACTTTTGTTTTCAATAATAGTTATTTTATATCTGGCTCATAAAATTCCTGAAAATAAAATAATTGACAATTTTAGCTAGTACAAGCCAGCACATTGCTGTCTCTCACTCCTAAATAGCCCTCATACTCAACTCTAATAAAGTTCCCTTTCCCTTTCTGTTCTCAAACCTCTCTGGTTTTCTTTTTGACTCTCATAATTGCCATTCTGCTTCCTGCCCAAGACATTTGCACATACTAATCTGTCTTCTTAGAATGCTCTGACCTCTCTTCTTTGTCTGATTAACTCCTATTTATTGTTAAAAACGTAACTCAGGAGACACTCAAGAAGTAAGCCTTCTCAATCTTACTGCAATTTCCCTTAGGTCAAGTTAATTTGTTAAACACTCGCAAGGAAACTCATTTTCTTCATTCAAAGCATTCACTTTTTTAAACCGTATGTTCAGTAGTAGTGGAGCATCGGAATAATGTTTCCTCTCTAGATCTCCATCTCACTGAGACTGGGGACCTTATTTGTTTCTACTATTGGATCTTAAAGTGCTAATGTGAATGGCATTCAACATGGACCCAACAAATACTTGTTAAATAAATTCACTGAGGATTATTTCTTTGGTTCAACTGTGAGAAAAGCATTTTCTTTCCTATTTGATTTTTGAAGTGATAACTGCCCAATTATTCTAGAATACCATGGGGGAAAAAGGATTTATCCATACATGATCCAGAGTACATAGCACATTTTCTAGCTCTAGGCCAGAAAACTGGGAGGACAGCTAAAGAACACGAGAGACAGAAAGCCATCTTGGCTCCTGGGTACCATGTACTATTTAACCTGGAGAGGTTATCTACCCTAAGTCTTTTATCATATTAGGCACCTGCAGCAAAGGAGAGCAAGCTGGTCTACTGGGAGGATAGAGAAACTAATTTTCGGAAATAAGTAAGTACTGGCTGGCTCCCTAATGGTTCAATAATTCCTGGCTGGTTTAAGTCCCTACAGTGTTTCCTGAGTGCCTAAAAATGTCAACAGAATTAAAAACAAACAAAACCAGAAACAAACAAAATACTGTCCTCATGGAGCAGGGAATCCAGTGGATGGAGCTGACATTAATTAGCTCCTCAAACAAATAACTGTAAAAGCACAAGTGTCCTAGGTGCTTTAAGTGAGAGATACAAGCTGTGATAAGAGGAGAATTAAGACCACATCTGAACAGTGGGTGCAGCCTTCCTGAAGGATGAGTTGCAACGAACTGGGAGAATAGGAGAGATTCTAGAAGGCCCCTCAGGAAAGAGCCTGATCAAGTTCTTCTGAAAGAAGAGAGCACCCACTGGGGGTGGGTGGATGGTATAGAGCTTGGCAGTAGAGCACATGCCCAGCATGCACGAGGTTCTTGGTTCAATTCCTAGTATCTTCATTAAAAAAAAAAAAGATGCAAATTTGAAGAAAAAAATAGGAGAGCACTAAGTGTGAGCAGTTTAAAGAAGGCTTTTTTTTTTTTTTTCGCTGAAGGACACTGTGAGAGATAAGGCTGGAGAGGCAGGTAGCAGTTAGAATGTGAGAGTCCTTGTTACACTGTGTTGAAAAACCACATACTTTAAAAAATGAGTTCCAGAAATGAAAGAAGCAACATTCAAAAAAACAATGAATTTAGTTTTTCAGAAGTGAAGCATCATCTAATTAAAAAAGTACACAGAGTTTCAAACAGGAAAACAAGCAAATCCCCAACCACACACAATATAGTTAAAATAAAGAACACTGGAAAGTAATGATGAAAGTTTTACAACAAAAAAGGAACATGAAATATTTATACAGTAGCAAAAATTAGACTGACAGAAGATTTTCACACAAGCAACAGAAGCCTGAAGGAAATTTAGAAATAGGTTTCATATTGAAAGGAAGTAATGGAAATGGAATATAGTTTAACTCTTCTGTAAAAGCCAGAGTGAAACAGACATTATCCATCAGACAATAAAGACTGGAAGAGTGTACTTCCTAGCTCAGTGTTGAGAGTACTGATAAATGACAATTCAGAAAAAAGTAAAACAAAATCAGAAGAAAGGACTGGAATACAGGACGTATAAGTAAGTGAAGAAATTGTTGAATCAGTAAATCAAAACATGCACTGATTATAAAACAATAATGTACTACAATGACTAATTTTGGAGAGGGCTAAAAAAATGTGAAACTAAAATACTAGGAAAAATAACATGTCTGATTGCAGAACAATCAGAATTAAAGCATGTTAAGGCCACTGTATTAGTATGTGTGTAAGGAGTCATTATCTGATACTTGTTAACTTTAGACTTCCTTAAGAATGCATGTGAAAAATTTTAGGGCAAGTACTGAATTAATAGACAAACGCATAACTTTCAAAATAATATAAGGATTAAACAGTCAGCAAAGAAATTTTGACAAATCTAAAAATAGCAGAAAATAAGAAAACAAACAAAAGAGCATAGTAGGTAGAAACAAATCCATAAGATAGTAAAAAAAAAAAACTTAAAGTATATTAGTATCATAACAAGTATAAATAAATTAAAATAATTCATTCAAGAAGGGACATCGAAAAGATGGAATAGAAAGTGGCAGAAACAAGATTATTACAGGCAAATAACCAAATGAAACCTGACACAGCTATATTAATACTGAGCAAAAAAACCTAGCATCTTTCTTAATCAAAATAGTATTATATCAATATTAAGGGGTTAAAAAAGAATAAAACAAAATTGAAAGTTCATGTACACACATATGCACACATGAGAAAAACTGGGGAAACGTTACAAAGAAGTAATTCACATGAGGTAACTGCCAAATTTTCAAAAATCACAATCCAGTCTCCCTAGTAATCAAGGTAGTACAACTATCGTCTGAGAATCCAGTTATTGGTGATGAGGCAGATAATAGGGAACTTCGTACACTGACGGTGCAAATGTAAATTCAGCGAGTCGGGAGGCTTTCTGACAATGTCTCATAAATTGGATAAGGTACACACCCTATGGTACGTGTCTTTCAGGAACAAAGCCTAGACTGTTTAGAGAAACTCTAACAGAGGTGCACAGGGTTGAAAAAGCACAAGGAGGTTTCTTACAGGGTTTTGTTTATTT